TGTTACCAGAGTTACTTACAAGTTTATGTTTAATTATGCTTGACTGCTATTTGTGTGCTTCCTGATACAGAGCAAGCCCAATCTTATTAATCCACTAGGCTAATTGGATTAATGGACAAAACACATCTTCCCTTAATAAGATAAAGGATTGAAATATAATCTCTAAGGGAAGTATCCACCCTGCTGTTAAAACAAACCAACAGATTTATTGACCCTAACCACCCCCAGAAATGGATCTTGCACGAAGAACTGCCTTTAGAGGGAAGCAAGCTGGGGGAGATACTTTGGACTCAAATCTTGGGACAGCATCTCAACCTTCTTCAGCCCAAAGCCATCAGTAATTTGGTAAGTGCACCCCTATCCATACCAAGGATTAAAAGCCAAAGCACTGTGATACAGCATAAAGACTCCTTTGAAGGCAGTGCAGTGCTTTAGCCTCTTATTGCTATACTCAGCTGGAAAAAAGTAATGGATTAGCCCAATTGTGTATACCTGGCCTCTGTGCTGTGGGAAGATATGTAGAGAAAATGAGATTAGAGTCACTTTTGTGACCGATCTGACAGGTGGGAAGCCATGCAGTCTATGAGAGATTCCTTGTGCCTCCTCTACGGTCCATACACCTGCTTGTGATTGCATGCCACCCAATTAAATGTTTCTGCAGCACCTAAGCAGGGGATGGAGTTTGAAAAGAACAGAGGCTTCCTCGTCATTTATTCATGTAACTATTTAATTTAAAGAGCACAAATACCAGTTGTATCTTTAGCACTGAGTTGCTTCTTCGTAAAGTGTTTTTGAGGCAGGCTCTGAGTTGTGTGTGTTGCATCTATAAACTGTTCTTTGTTCCCTGCAGATACTGTACTCCGGGCAAGCAGCAACCCTGTGAGCGACGTGGAGGCCTGGCCATATAAATGCATCTCTGACAGCTTCCTGTTGCTCCCTAATTTGAGCTTTGGCAGGCCACCAGAGGAAGTGAATCCCTGAGACTCTCCTGATGCAAGACGAGCAAAGAAAAGGAAGCAGGCAAGGAGGGAAAAAGCAATGGCAACAAATACTGGTGATCTCTTACATGGGCAAGATTGCAAAATAGGTAAATCTTTGGTCCTGCATTGCTAAGAATTTTTTTTAACTTTTTTTTTTTTTTAAATCTGGGTTTGTAAAATACTCATATTGGTAAAAGATTTTTTCAAGCCAAAGTGGCTTGGAAAATGTAATTCTAGGCTAATAGCAGTTACGCTAGCAATCTTGCTTTCCTTGCTGCTCTGGTTTGTGTCTTTCCAGCTGCCCCCAGAAAGCAGGCCCAGGCATTAGAATCGCTAACAGCTGGCGCTTGCAAAACAACTGTGTTAATTGCTTTAAATACCTAAGAATAGCAAACTTGCATTGAAAACTTATGGTTGAGCCGCAAGAAACATCTTGGTAAAAAAGCACTTCTTTTTTTAGGAAGAGACCAAGGAGAAAGACAAACCACTTCTTTAAAGGTAATAAAGTTAATGAGTACTCTTTCCCTCTATCATTAAATTTTAGATGCAAACTAACCAAATCTTTCCTTGCCCTAAAGTTAGACTTGTCTACATTTTGTATAGGAGGGACTCCTACAGTTTCTCTGACTCGGGGTGGGGACCTTGAAAGACAGAAAATGTTTTAATTTCATGCTGTTGATTACATTCTGTGCTCCTAACGCTTGCACAGGTGTAGAGGGGACATCTTAACATCCCAACTACATTTTTAGTAGGTTTTGCTCATTTCAGCTGATTTGGGGTAGCAGCTGTGTGCGTTTTGTCTTTTCCCCTCCCTGCTGCTGTTGGCCAGGGAAGATCCTCAAATTCTGGCATTGCTTTGCTGCACTGCACAAAATAAGGGATGATATGGGATCCAGCCTTTTGGTTGCAGGTGATGACTTCATTTTGGGAGCAGACCCACCTCGACACCCAAGCGCCACGTGATGAACATGCGTGAAACTAGATGAGGCTTCTCCTCTTCACAAAGTTGTCAATATGCTTTAAAAAGGTACCTTTAAGTTACTTCAATATGATATCAAGATGATTCACCCATGTTTTAAATCACTGCACGCAGGTCATCGCCCGTTGTCTCCAAAAAGATGCTGAAGAACTGGAAAAAGTCCAAAGAGGACAACAAGCATGGTTGAAGACTTGGAATATAGTCCCAGGAAGGAACTAGGTAGGCTCTGATGCTTTAGCCTGCATAAGGGGTAGATACCAGCCATTTGCTGTCTCATCCCATGCAGGAGCCTGGTTAATCAAATCTAATTAGCTGGAGCCACGTTCCCAGTGAACAAGTGGAGGTGTTTTTCCATGGCCTGGCTAAGGGATGGTGCCACTGCTGGGTAAAGGGTGTTGCAGGCACTAAACTTTAGCTCAAGAGAGGAAAAGTGCTTAATGGAGACCTCCATTGAGGGTTAGGGATGGTGCCACTGCTGGGTAAAGGGTGTTATGGGTGCAAAACTTTAGCTCGAGAGGAAAAATGCTTAATGGAGACTTCCACTGAGGGTTACTGAGCCTGATGGACCACATCAGTTCTTGGAACATCCCGGTAGAGTCACCATCCCTGGCTGTGTTTAAGGGACGTTTAGATGCGGTACTGAGGGATATGGTGTAGGGGAGGACTTTGTAGAGTAGGGTAGATGGTTGGACTCGATGATCCCAAGGGTCTCTTCCAACCTGAATGATTCTATGATTACTGAGCCTGATGGACCACATCAATTCTTGGAACATCCCTAAGTTAACACCACAGCCTCCAAACACGTTTATTCTAGGCAGCATGGGCTAAAAGAAAGTGTTGGTGTGAGCCACTCCAGCTGTGGTGTTACGAGGCCTCTTGTGCTTTGTTCTTGTTTGAGATGGACCTGGATTTTTTAGTGTCCTTCAGCTTAGTGCCCGTGGAGAGCTTCTACAGGGTTGCTCAGAAAAGGAAACGTCTTGTTAGGCTACAAAGGAGTTGGTGTTTCTGCTAGAAAACAGTTCCTAAAGCTGGCAAATCCTAAAGAAAGTCTGAAAGCCTCCCAAAAACCTCTTGTTCTGCTGTGGTGGTCTCTCGAGAAGCATTCCTGGTGCACTTTTTCTTAGTGTTTCTTAACAAGGTGCTGATGTAATGAATTGCTCTGCTAAGGCCTGCCTGAAGCTGCCCAGCCCCACCAGGATTTGACAGCAGGTGAAATGCACAAGGCCAGCGTAGAGCAATTTAAAAAAAAAAATCTTTTAATGCATCTGGAACAACAATGACTATGCTGGAGTTTAGGAAGGCAGGAGAAAATGAGTAAACGTTCTCTACCTAACTGGCAGAAAGCACTGATAAGGGGCAGAAATATATTCATGGAGTGAGGTGACTATTGGAAACAATTCTTGACTGAATTCCCAAATTCAGTAGATGCCAAAATCCTGCCAAAATCTCCTTTGAACAGAAAATTCTTCACCTCCAGCCCCATGCTGACCAATACACGCAAGCCCGCTACTAAACACGCTAATCAAGTTCTTGGTGGTCGTGTTCACCGCTGTCGCCCCTACTTTCTAAAAATATCTGAGTAGTGCAAAAGACGAGGAGAAAGGAGTGGAACTCGCTAGAAAGGATCTGAATGCCCCTGCCGTGTGTGAGGTTTTGCCAAATCTCTAGAAGCTGCTGTTAAATCTCTGGCTAGAGACTACGGGCTCGTTGGATAACGGGGCTTTAACTGGATGCCTCAGCTAGAAGCTTGGCTATCACTCCGCTGTTTCCTGCTAGTTGTAAGAGTTGTATTTCTGTTGGAAGACAACCAAAAGGAGAGGAGAGAAAGGCTTATTTATTTTTTTGACTGACAGTTCCCCTAAAAGCTGGCCTTCTTCCTGCTCTGGCGCCGCAACACTGGCGATGTAGTTGGCTATGTGGACACGTCTGTGTCAACATCTGGACGAGAAATGACTAAATTCACTTAAAGTCGTTGTTTGCTTCTCATATGAGAGATGTGGTGTCTCGTGGTCTTCCCCACCGTGGGGAGTAACACCCGATGTTGTGGTGGTTGCTCTTTAAAAGGCATTGCTGAGGGAATGGAAGCTGAGATGACAGCTTAGGGACAGGGAGTAATCTCGGTTATGGATCACGCTGCAGTCTCCAGTTAGCTCTTATGACTGAGGTGCTTTTCATCATAGAATGGTCAGAGTTGGAAGGGACCTTAAAGATCATCCAGTTCCAACCCCCCTGCCCTGGGCAGGGACACCTCCCACCAGACCAGGTTGCTCCAAGCCCCATCCAGCCTGGCCTTGAACCCCTCCAGGGATGGGGCAGCTACAGCTTCTCTGGGCAACCTGGGCCAGGCTCTCACCACCCTCACAGCAAAGAATTTCTTCCTAGTATCTAACCTAAATCTCCCTTTTTCCAGTTAAAAACCATTCCCCCTCATCCTATGGCTCCCCTCCCTGATCCAGAGTCCCTCCCCATCTCTCCTGGAGCCCCTTTAGGGACTGGAAAGGGCTCTAAGGTCTCCCCGGAGCCTTCTCTTCTCCAACTCTCTCAGCCTGTCCTCACAGCAGAGGGGCTCCAACCCCTGATCATTTTTGTGGCCTCATCTGGATCTGCTCCAGCAGATCCATGTCCTTATGTTGGGGGCCCCAGAGCTGGACACAGGACTCCAGGTGGGGTTTCATGAGAGAAAGCAGGACGAAAGTAACCCCCCTAAAGAGCATGTGTTAGAAGGGGATTTGACCCCTCCTGTGTCTTTGCCAACACTCTGTTGCTGTGAAAGCTTTCCAGCTAGGGGTGGCCAAAAATGTTCTCTCTCAACCAAAGGAAGATGACGGGCTGCACAGGTGAGTAAGGAGATGATTCTTTATTTGAAGCTTACATCTAAAAAGAAAGGAAAAAGTGCTTTTGAGTGTCTGTGACTGTAACTTATTTGCTGGAGGAGAGGAGAAGAGAAGAATCTGCGGAGATTTTATAGCAGCTTTCTAGTATCTGAAGGGGGCTGCAGGAGAGCTGGGGAGGGACTTTTTAGAAGGGCTTGTAGTGATGGGACGAGGGGTATAAATAAAAAGAGGGGAGATTGAGATGAGATCTGAGGAAGAAATTCTTTGCTGTGAGGGTGGTAAGACCCTGGCCCAGGTTGCCCAGAGAAGCTGTGGCTGCCCCATCCCTGGAGGGGTTCAAGGCCAGGCTGGATGGGGCTTGGAGCAACCTGGTCTGGTGGGAGGTGTCCCTGCCCAGGGCAGGGGGTTGGAACTGGATGATCTTGAAGGTCCCTTCCAACTCTAACCATCCTATGATTGTAACTACAATGAACAACCAAGTTCTTTTATTTATGAAGTCCTACAAAATAAGGAATGGTCAGCGTCGATCTGTCAAGGCAAGACATGTCCAAGCAGCTCCACGTCCTTCTGTGACAGGAGGCTGCTTTGGGAACTCCTCATGATGAAGGTACCACCACCATGGAGACCATCTTCACCCAGAGGAGACAAGGGGCAGCACGGGGCTGTGTGGGTGGTGTGTTACCAGAGTTACTTACAAGTTTATGTTTAATTATGCTTGACTGCTATTTGTGTGCTTCCTGATACAGAGCAAGCCCAATCTTATTAATCCACTAGGCTAATTGGATTAATGGACAAAACACATCTTCCCTTAATAAGATAAAGGATTGAAATATAATCTCTAAGGGAAGTATCCACCCTGCTGTTAAAACAAACCAACAGATTTATTGACCCTAACCACCCCCAGAAATGGATCTTGCACGAAGAACTGCCTTTAGAGGGAAGCAAGCTGGGGGAGATACTTTGGACTCAAATCTTGGGACAGCATCTCAACCTTCTTCAGCCCAAAGCCATCAGTAATTTGGTAAGTGCACCCCTATCCATACCAAGGATTAAAAGCCAAAGCACTGTGATACAGCATAAAGACTCCTTTGAAGGCAGTGCAGTGCTTTAGCCTCTTATTGCTATACTCAGCTGGAAAAAAGTAATGGATTAGCCCAATTGTGTATACCTGGCCTCTGTGCTGTGGGAAGATATGTAGAGAAAATGAGATTAGAGTCACTTTTGTGACCGATCTGACAGGTGGGAAGCCATGCAGTCTATGAGAGATTCCTTGTGCCTCCTCTACGGTCCATACACCTGCTTGTGATTGCATGCCACCCAATTAAATGTTTCTGCAGCACCTAAGCAGGGGATGGAGTTTGAAAAGAACAGAGGCTTCCTCGTCATTTATTCATGTAACTATTTAATTTAAAGAGCACAAATACCAGTTGTATCTTTAGCACTGAGTTGCTTCTTCGTAAAGTGTTTTTGAGGCAGGCTCTGAGTTGTGTGTGTTGCATCTATAAACTGTTCTTTGTTCCCTGCAGATACTGTACTCCGGGCAAGCAGCAACCCTGTGAGCGACGTGGAGGCCTGGCCATATAAATGCATCTCTGACAGCTTCCTGTTGCTCCCTAATTTGAGCTTTGGCAGGCCACCAGAGGAAGTGAATCCCTGAGACTCTCCTGATGCAAGACGAGCAAAGAAAAGGAAGCAGGCAAGGAGGGAAAAAGCAATGGCAACAAATACTGGTGATCTCTTACATGGGCAAGATTGCAAAATAGGTAAATCTTTGGTCCTGCATTGCTAAGAATTTTTTTTAACTTTTTTTTTTTTTTAAATCTGGGTTTGTAAAATACTCATATTGGTAAAAGATTTTTTCAAGCCAAAGTGGCTTGGAAAATGTAATTCTAGGCTAATAGCAGTTACGCTAGCAATCTTGCTTTCCTTGCTGCTCTGGTTTGTGTCTTTCCAGCTGCCCCCAGAAAGCAGGCCCAGGCATTAGAATCGCTAACAGCTGGCGCTTGCAAAACAACTGTGTTAATTGCTTTAAATACCTAAGAATAGCAAACTTGCATTGAAAACTTATGGTTGAGCCGCAAGAAACATCTTGGTAAAAAAGCACTTCTTTTTTTAGGAAGAGACCAAGGAGAAAGACAAACCACTTCTTTAAAGGTAATAAAGTTAATGAGTACTCTTTCCCTCTATCATTAAATTTTAGATGCAAACTAACCAAATCTTTCCTTGCCCTAAAGTTAGACTTGTCTACATTTTGTATAGGAGGGACTCCTACAGTTTCTCTGACTCGGGGTGGGGACCTTGAAAGACAGAAAATGTTTTAATTTCATGCTGTTGATTACATTCTGTGCTCCTAACGCTTGCACAGGTGTAGAGGGGACACCTTAACATCCCAACTACATTTTTAGTAGGTTTTGCTCATTTCAGCTGATTTGGGGTAGCAGCTGTGTGCGTTTTGTCTTTTCCCCTCCCTGCTGCTGTTGGCCAGGGAAGATCCTCAAATTCTGGCATTGCTTTGCTGCACTGCATGAAATAAGGGATGATATGGGATCCAGCCTCTTGGCTGCAGGTGATGACTTCATTTTGGGAGCAGACTGGCCTTGACACCCAAGCACCACGTGATGAACATGTATGAAACTAGATGAGGCTTCCCCTCTTCACAAAGTTGTCAATATGCTTAAAAAAGGTACCTTTAAGTTACTTCAATATGATATTAAGATGATTCACCCATGTTTTAAATCGCTGCACACAGGTCATCGCCTGTTGTCTCCAAAAAGATGCTGAAGAACTGGAAAAAGTCCAAAGAGGACAACAAGCATGGTTGAAGACTTGGAATATAGTCCCAGGAAGGAACTAGGTAGGCTCTGATGCTTTAGCCTGCATAAGGGGTAGATACCAGCCATTTGCTGTCTCATCCCATGCAGGAGCCTGGTTAATCAAATCTAATTAGCTGGAGCCACGTTCCCAGTGAACAAGTAGAGGTGTTTTTCCATGGCCTGGCCAAGGGATGGTGCCACTGCTGGGTAAAGGGTGTTATGGGTGCAAAACTTTAGCTCGAGAGGAAAAATGCTTAATGGAGACTTCCACTGAGGGTTACTGAGCCTGATGGACCACATCAGTTCTTGGAACATCCCTAAGTTAACACCACAGCCTCCAAACACGTTTATTCTAGGCAGCATGGGCTAAAAGAAAGTGTTGGTGTGAGCCACTCCAGCTGTGGTGTTACGAGGCCTCTTGTGCTTTGTTCTTGTTTGAGATGGACCTGGATTTTTTAGTGTCCTTCAGCTTAGTGCCCGTGGAGAGCTTCTACAGGGTTGCTCAGAAAAGGAAACGTCTTGTTAGGCTACAAAGGAGTTGGTGTTTCTGCTAGAAAACAGTTCCTAAAGCTGGCAAATCCTAAAGAAAGTCTGAAAGCCTCCCAAAAACCTCTTGTTCTGCTGTGGTGGTCTCTCGAGAAGCATTCCTGGTGCACTTTTTCTTAGTGTTTCTTAACAAGGTGCTGATGTAATGAATTGCTCTGCTAAGGCCTGCCTGAAGCTGCCCAGCCCCACCAGGATTTGACAGCAGGTGAAATGCACAAGGCCAGCGTAGAGCAATTTAAAAAAAAAAATCTTTTAATGCATCTGGAACAACAATGACTATGCTGGAGTTTAGGAAGGCAGGAGAAAATGAGTAAATGTTCTCTACCTAACTGGCAGAAAGCACTGATAAGGGGCAGAAATATATTCATGGAGTGAGGTGACTATTGGAAACAATTCTTGACTGAATTCCCAAATTCAGTAGATGCCAAAATCCTGCCAAAATCTCCTTTGAACAGAAAATTCTTCACCTCCAGCCCCATGCTGACCAATACACGCAAGCCCGCTACTAAACACGCTAATAAAGTTCTTGGTGGTCGTGTTCACCGCTGTCGCCCCTACTTTCTAAAAATATCTGAGTAGTGCAAAAGACGAGGAGAAAGGAGTGGAACTCGCTAGAAAGGATCTGAATGCCCCTGCCGTGTGTGAGGTTTTGCCAAATCTCTAGAAGCTGCTGTTAAATCTCTGGCTAGAGACTACGGGCTCGTTGGATAACGGGGCTTTAACTGGATGCCTCAGCTAGAAGCTTGGCTATCACTCCGCTGTTTCCTGCTAGTTGTAAGAGTTGTATTTCTGTTGGAAGACAACCAAAAGGAGAGGAGAGGAAGGCTTATTTATTTTTTTGACTGACAGTTCCCCTAAAAGCTGGCCTTCTTCCTGCTCTGGCGCCGCAACACTGGCGATGTAGTTGGCTATGTGGACACGTCTGTGTCAACATCTGGACGAGAAATGACTAAATTCACTTAAAGTCGTTGTTTGCTTCTCATATGAGAGATGTGGTGTCTCGTGGTCTTCCCCACCGTGGGGAGTAACACCCGATGTTGTGGTGGTTGCTCTTTAAAAGGCATTGCTGAGGGAATGGAAGCTGAGATGACAGCTTAGGGACAGGGAGTAATCTCGGTTATGGATCACGCTGCAGTCTCCAGTTAGCTCTTATGACTGAGGTGCTTTTCATCATAGAATGGTCAGAGTTGGAAGGGACCTTAAAGATCATCCAGTTCCCAACCCCCTGCCCTGGGCAGGGACACCTCCCACCAGACCAGGTTGCTCCAAGCCCCATCCAGCCTGGCCTTGAACCCCTCCAGGGATGGGGCAGCTACAGCTTCTCTGGGCAACCTGGGCCAGGCTCTCACCACCCTCACAGCAAAGAATTTCTTCCTAGTATCTAACCTAAATCTCCCTTTTTCCAGTTAAAAACCATTCCCCCTCATCCTATGGCTCCCCTCCCTGATCCAGAGTCCCTCCCCATCTCTCCTGGAGCCCCTTTAGGGACTGGAAAGGGCTCTAAGGTCTCCCCGGAGCCTTCTCTTCTCCAACTCTCTCAGCCTGTCCTCACAGCAGAGGGGCTCCAACCCCTGATCATTTTTGTGGCCTCATCTGGATCTGCTCCAGCAGATCCATGTCCTTATGTTGGGGGCCCCAGAGCTGGACACAGGACTCCAGGTGGGGTTTCATGAGAGAAAGCAGGACGAAAGTAACCCCCCTAAAGAGCATGTGTTAGAAGGGGATTTGACCCCTCCTGTGTCTTTGCCAACACTCTGTTGCTGTGAAAGCTTTCCAGCTAGGGGTGGCCAAAAATGTTCTCTCTCAACCAAAGGAAGATGACGGGCTGCACAGGTGAGTAAGGAGATGATTCTTTATTTGAAGCTTACATCTAAAAAGAAAGGAAAAAGTGCTTTTGAGTGTCTGTGACTGTAACTTATTTGCTGGAGGAGAGGAGAAGAGAAGAATCTGCGGAGATTTTATAGCAGCTTTCTAGTATCTGAAGGGGGCTGCAGGAGAGCTGGGGAGGGACTTTTTAGAAGGGCTTGTAGTGATGGGACGAGGGGTATAAATAAAAAGAGGGGAGATTGAGATGAGATCTGAGGAAGAAATTCTTTGCTGTGAGGGTGGTAAGACCCTGGCCCAGGTTGCCCAGAGAAGCTGTGGCTGCCCCATCCCTGGAGGGGTTCAAGGCCAGGCTGGATGGGGCTTGGAGCAACCTGGTCTGGTGGGAGGTGTCCCTGCCCAGGGCAGGGGGTTGGAACTGGATGATCTTGAAGGTCCCTTCCAACTCTAACCATCCTATGATTGTAACTACAATGAACAACCAAGTTCTTTTATTTATGAAGTCCTACAAAATAAGGAATGGTCAGCGTCGATCTGTCAAGGCAAGACATGTCCAAGCAGCTCCACGTCCTTCTGTGACAGGAGGCTGCTTTGGGAACTCCTCATGATGAAGGTACCACCACCATGGAGACCATCTTCACCCAGAGGAGACAAGGGGCAGCACGGGGCTGTGTGGGTGGTGGCGCAGGAACCCTGCCCTGAGATGTCCCCGGAGGGGCCACCAGCTGTGGGGCCAAATTAAACCAAAATTGATGGGCGTTAAAGCCAAAAAACCCTAAAAATAGAGTGCCTGGGTGGGAACTTTTCCTCAAAAAAAAAAAAAAAAAATCGCCACTTTTGGCTTTGTGCTTCTCAGGGTTTTGGTTAGCCTGCTCCTTTTTCACCCCATTTCTTATCCCGCTGTGACTGAAGAACCAAAGGCGAGGGAGGGGGGGAGGGAGCGAGGGGGCGCCCCCCCCCCGCGGGGCCGCGCGCCCACGTGGAGGGGCGACGCCTGCGCAGTGCGGGGCG